GCAGATAAGAGTATGAGAAAAACAACCGCTCGGATTAGCTGATTGTGGTTATGTGCCAGTTCCCACACATCCCAAAATAATATTTCTTGGGGACTTAAAATAGTTTCGTTTGAACTTCTCTCAGTTTCGTTTTGTTGTTTAGGGATTCGGACGGTATGTAAGAGAATTTGTTAAGTCAATCAGTAGTTCGGTGCATGGTTGAACTATCAGGAATTTTTGTGTGAATAGTGAAGTTTTCTGGGGTTCTGATCCTGAATTGGGTCTGGTGTAATTAGAGCTATCTAAATTGATGAGTCGAGGAACACTTTTGATTCCTTTCGAAAAACGCAAATAAGGGGCTTTCATCATGATAATGATAACATCGTTTGCTGCACGACAGCGAAAATACTCGCGCGAGTGAACCCCAGGGCCGAAATAACAACTGAAAAAAAAATCAAGTTTCGGGAGTATAACTGCGAAGTCGAACCGTAGAGGTTAAGTCCCCTTCAACGAGGTGACATGTCCTTCCACCTGTTTGAAGGCCGGAAATCCAACCCAGAAGGTTTGTGTGGTGAACCGCATGGGTTTGGCGGTGTTATCTCAGTGCGGGACACTGTAAGCTGTCTGTCGATCCGGCGTTGGAGTACGCATACTTATAGATGACCAGAAGTAGTATCAAACACTGTGCCAGTTGACCACGCAACACAAACTCAGGACATTAGGCGAATCTAGCAAATTTATTGGACCTGCCCATCCTGTAGTGTTCAACATGATAGACACTGTGAGCATACTGATGGTTTGTTTTGTCTTGCTTCTTACGATTCGGTTTGTACGACTCTCCATTTTTCTGTCTGCAATAGTGATCGTCGAACCCCTCTTCAGAGGACCGGTCTTACAGTACTTCACTAGCGTGTTCAACATATATAATTTGCAAATAAGCCGAGACGGTAGACCCAAACACCGACTCGTTAATCAAATAGCATACAACCATATTTACAAACTACAGAGGTTACACGTTGGGCATGCATACACGAACACGACCTTCATCACAACAAAATCGGTTTAATCTGAAGAGGAAATCAACTTCCTGAGGGTTAAATGTGGGGTGGACTGACAACCCCTACCGGCGTTCACCGCGTGTGATGGCAAACGGATGAACCAACGATCGTAAGCTGTAGGCTGACTGGCGTGCGAAGATGTCCTAGGTTTCTGAGAGACGTAGACATTTTGAACCCACCAGCAGAAAACGTCACCGAATGACAGCCTTTGAACCTTTGAACAACCTATAACCCAGCTCAACGTACCACAGTAAGATTCGAATATTGTCTGCCTAAAAAACAAGTGACAACCCTAGAATTCGTAAGATGCGCGCTGCCAATGGATTCTAACCTTTGGCAGTTGAACCATACTGATGAGACAACCGATGGCCTTATGGGTTAGGTATTCCTTATTACTATGATATGAGACGGTAGCCGATATTGCAATATTCTGAATTAATTTCATATAACAATATCTTCCAAGTTGAGACAAGTAAAATGGAGGGACCCACCACCACATTTAAAGAAGCAGCTTCTTGACGAGGCAAACAATTTGGTGGACAATGCTGGATAACTGAAAAATCAGTAGGATAACCCTTGGCACGCTCTGTTGTGATTCTTTTGGAAATCAGTAACACAAATCTGATAATCATGGGCTGTTCTTCCTTTTGAGACGTTTGAAACCATCTTTTATTCTGCGTAACAATGGATAGCACATAATACCGTAACAGATAGTTAAGTTTTGTCCAATAGATGTGCTTCAGTAGTAGAGAATTTGAGTTGTTTTACTCATGGAGGTGACTCACAACTTACCATGCCATATGCACATGGCCAAATAAAATAACCTTTCAGCAGTAGCACGTTCGGTGGCTAGCCGCACTGCCACCAGAAGGAAGCCTAGTTGCCGAAACTTAGACACGAGCACTCAAGACACTCAGGCTGGGTTCGAACACCAGACCTTCCGGTCAGTAATTTCACGCCTTAACTATTGAGGTACCTCGAGGTTCATAATAGAATTTTATCCATCAGGTAGTAAACCAGTGGTGGTGGAAATGAAGGAAGGGATCAGCGAAATACACATATTTGCATGCCACTTTGGTTTTCACGGGAGACCCAGCTGATTATCAGCTGAATCTTCTGTTTATGCTGTTCTTAAGAAACTGAATGTGCTGTCTCGGGCAGCCTCATGTTGCAGTTTGTACGATATTCGAGGTATCACAATATCTTATGTAGGGGCAACACACTACTGTCAACGAGTAGGAAGGGAAGAAGTTGGATATAAATAGTTTTTGAGCACAAGCTCCCCCAAGTAACTGAAGCGTTAATTAGATAGGAACCTTTCACATCTTTCGGCTATGTAACCGCAGGTTTGCAGGCCATAAAGACGGGAGTCGTCAGCTAGTCTAGAGCATGTAACCCGGGTCACCGAAGCGGTAGTCCATAATTTTATACACTAGGCCATACTGGTGATGATCCACGTTTAAATTTTTACACTTACCCCGCGAACTTTTTACGAAGAAACTAACATCTTGGAGATGTAAGATATTCTTTGACTGAAAACAATACCAACTGATGAACCAGTTAAGTTTTTCACGAGATTACCATAATTTACCAGTGTGCTTCCGTCCCCGTCTAAGTGCAATGTTTAACATGGCTGATACGATTTAGTCTCCACAGCCCAAGTTGTTTACTGAGTTCCACGGTCCAGAGGGAATTATCAGTCTTCAGATTGGAAGCAACCAGATGTCCTTAAAGGTAGTAACCATATCAGCGAGCATTAAGGGCGCGGGAAGTTTCAATGCATTTAAGGCACGTATTACTGAGACACATGTTGCATTGACAGTACTCGGACAGCTGGTTCGTATCTGTTTCAGTTGCTGGGACAAAGCCAAAGGGGAATTTAGACCATGCTGTTGTGGAGCTTGACACTATGATGAAAGATATTCAAAGCGCTTACATACTCCTGTCAGTCATCGGCAGAATAAAACTGAGTACAGTGACTGAATCCACAACCAGCTAATTTCTTTGTTGAACGCCTTGTACGTTACTTCATGAATGTAGTCTTCTAATATGGGTCGCACTGCGCCGAGATGAACAGTCCTCGCCAGAAGGAAACTCATAAAATACTGCCATCAGCTTTTGTGGATTGACTTCAGTTAGACTGCTTAATTCCTTGTACAGCTTACTGGCTGGAAACGAAGGAGAGATTAGCTCAGATGCTGAGGTCATGCACGCAAATATTCCAGGATTTCATTCCCTGAAGAATGGGTTTACTCTTGAAGAAAGACCATGAGTCCAAAGTCTTATAGAAAAGTTCAGCATGCGTAAAGGCCGAATTGCCGTTTTGAACTTTGGGACACATGCCAACGCACCGAGATCCTCTGGGCTGTAGAAAACATTGGACGAACTAGCTGAAGTCATTCAAATTCAAATCACCACTCCGGTTTTTACTAAGTACTTCATAATTTTCAACATTTTATTTGTAATGCGGACGACAAAGGCCAGCTTAAACCTGAAGATTTTACTTTTCGGCCCATACCATAAGCTGGTACTGTACAGTTTATGATCACCGCTTGTTGACTATATTAAACGGTCTTTTGTATGCTGTATTATCGCTGTCCATGTGGATGGGGATAATGACGGTTCTCCCGTACAGGAACCTTAGTCTGAGAAATGTGTGGAAGTAAACAATTTGGAGATTTAGTTTTCTCAACGTACTGGCCGGCAATCGTTTGCAGAACTGGAGCGGGAAACAATAACTCGGCAAACACTCGGACATAAACCAAGCTATCAGATCGGTGTTCGATGACAGCTTCCCAGTCTCGACTTAATTTTGATCACTGTAATACAGAAACGGCTGATTTACTGTAATCAAAAACTATCCAAGGCGCGATAAATTATCGCCAGTGCGTGAATGAATGCAATTCAATTCAATCAATCAATCAATCAATCAATCAATCAATCAATCAATCAATCAATCAATCAATCAATCAATCAATCAATCAATCAATCAATCAATCAATCAATCAATCAATCAATCAATCAATCAATCAATCAATCAATCAATCAATCAATCAATCAATCAATCAATCAATCAATCAATCAATCAATCAATCAATCAATCAATCAATCAATCAATCAATCAATCAATCAATCAATCAATCAATCAATCAATCAATCAATCAATCAATCAATCAATCAATCAATCAATCAATCAATCAATCAATCAATCAATCAATCAATCAATCAATCAATCAATCAATCAATCAATCAATCAATCAATCAATCAATCAATCAATCAATCAATCAATCAATCAATCAATCAATCAATCAATCAATCAATCAATCAATCAATCAATCAATCAATCAATCAATCAATCAATCAATCAATCAATCAATCAATCAATCAATCAATCAATCAATCAATCAATCAATCAATCAATCAATCAATCAATCAATCAATCAATCAATCAATCAATCAATCAATCAATCAATCAATCAATCAATCAATCAATCAATCAATCAATCAATCAATCAATCAATCAATCAATCAATCAATCAATCAATCAATCAATCAATCAATCAATCAATCAATCAATCAATCAATCAATCAATCAATCAATCAATCAATCAATCAATCAATCAATCAATCAATCAATCAATCAATCAATCAATCAATCAATCAGTCAATTAATTAATTAATTAATTAATTATTGTTATTATTATTATTATTCAATCAGTTATTCCAGGAACGATTTCCCTGCACTGCTTCCCCATCTGCAAAATTCAAAGATGTCCGTTTTGGTAGAGTAATCCAGGATGTCTGTCGATTATTATGATGCCTAAGATTGCAGTGCAGAACAAGGTAGTGAGAATGAAGTCCAAGTTTCTGTGGGAAGGTTGTCTATTTGAGCATATATTTTTCTCCTAGGGCCGGTGATATCTACCAATGTTTTTTCGTCAAAAGTACAACTGGGTTACCGCATGACCAGGCTGGGCAGTTGGTGGAAAAGTCGATCTGCACACATTTTACACTTGTCTTCGTAAGTTCCAGGAAGAAATATCGATACAGCTGTTAACTTTCACGTCGTGAGCGCGCAAAGAGTTTTTTGGATCGTCGGCCAGAAGATGTTTATTGATGATGAAGCATCGCTGATAATCTGGTTTCCCCCAAATGGATTATTGTACTAGCACGCATAAGTGTTCTGTTCTAAATACCCTTGGGAACTGGTGAAAAACTAGTACCATTGATGGGAGGTAAATGCTAATTGAAAAGACCAAGACTTACAGAAAAATACGGATAACACATCTACCGTTACTGCTGGTAAATCTTTTCATAACCTCGTATTGATGAGGAGTTTTCAATATCCTTCTGGGATTATCGTTATGATTCTGAACTATATCATCCAATAACGCATTACTTCGAGGGAAGAAACATTTCGAACTCTCCTGAATCGTACTTCTGACTAGCTGGACCGACGTAATCGCTAGCCTTGACCGCGATGAGATGGTCTAGGTAAAGCTTAAGGTGGCACACTGCTTGTTTCTTTCATGGCTTTAAACAAGTAATTTCACCAAAATCAGTGAGGAGGTGAGCGCAGGGGCTGTGTTATTGTTTCGTGAAAAACTGATAACTGTCACAGTGCTTCCATCTGATGACAGTAGATCTGTGTTGCGATCTGAAAGTGCAAGATTCATTTAGAATGAAGATCATTCACAGTCAGTGAATTGTGCTTGTGCGTCTAAGTGCATCGATGTGCCTGTGCACAGGCGCATGTAATCCAGCGACAGCAGTACTGTGGAACACTATACAAATACCGCCGGTTGACTCCTGGGTCAATTATCCTAGTGCAGCAAAACTTTTGTTTTTGGTTAAATCGTGCCTTGAGATAGGGTTTCAAGGATGGAATTGATATACTTACTTCTGCCAGATAGAATATTACTCGGACTGTTATGGCCTCGTGTGCTAACAACAATTATTCGCCGAACAATGCCTTGAAATCTGACGAAATATTGATGCCCTTGGAACTATTAAATCTGTTGGAAACTATCCTTTTAAGGAAACATTATCAATACGAAGTAATACTAGTAGTATACCTTATTGTCTGCATTACGATTGGATGAGTGCCTATTATTTTCCCCGACTCGGGCAACAGCGGTAAAAGATTTGAGTACGAATGCGGTTTTCCAGGATCGCACACATTCAGTTTTAGAAAGAGTCTCGCACGATTCAGTCAATTCTGCGTGGCTTTCGGTACTGTCCTTTCATGTTCCAGGTCTGTAACATTTGCTTGTGAAATAAGACTGAAGAGGAAAGCTTCAGATATAACGAGGCTTTCTGTAGTTCGATGAGGAAACGAACTGGAGATACCATTATGGTCAGTACTGATCAACATCATTGTTGGTGATGAACTCAAGAGAATATTTTACACAAACACTCATGTCTGTGTCATCGTCAGCGGGGTTGTGTGTAGATGAAGTCCCCTGGCTCGGCGATAGCTGAAATTTTGTGCTTCATTTACATTCTACCCAACGTTGTGTTCCATTACATCCGTACGCGGGAGTTTTCCCACCCATAATTAAGGCGTTTCGCCTAAAATAAGAAGCGGCGTGAAATCTTTTAAAACTAAAAGTAGTTTTTTATAGTAAGCATGGTGAGTCAGATAATGATTCCCTCTGCTTTTTTTCATGAAGGAAACTACTCATGAGGTTGCTTAAAACTCCTCGACAGCGCCTACCTGATGAGCCCCAAGAAGGGTAACACTGGTCGTGGGCTATCGGAGGGCCTTTAGCAATCTTGTGAGTAGTTTTCCTTATGTAAATACACTACGATATCTCGAATATCGTACCAACTGAAACCCGAGGCGGCCTGTGTGCAACACGTTCAGTTGAAGAGCATCATAAACGAGAGATTCACTTGAGTCTCCCGTGAAAAACCAAATTGTACTTCTCTAATCCCCTCGGCTTGTTTGTGGGTCACTGATCCTAGCAATTTACTTTAATGTAGAACTGACTAAATGTCAACGTAGTTCCGGTCTCCGCGATCACTCAAATTGTGGACATGAAAAGTGATTATAGCACTTTCATTCCTGAGCTTGTTCAGCTCAGGAAGCTACATGTCGAGACTATTTATGGTGCAACCTGGTGCTAGCCTACTTGATACATTTACCCGTGTGCTGCCTTCAGTTAAACGGTAGCCCAGTGGTTGTTCGAGCAATTTTACCCAACAGGAACGTTTTATGCGGATTACGGTGCACTCTGCCCTTAAATAGCATACCATCCTAACGGTTTGAAACTGGTGGACGTGGGTTTTTCTAGAGTGATAGCGGTTTAGGGTGAATGCTTATTGCCAATCATGCTTGAACGAACCTTTGAATAAACCAAAACGCCAGACAGTCTGGGAAAATCCAAAACAACTGAGGTTATCGAAAAACGCAATTGTGCAGAAGATATGATGGTAACAGAGCACGTCATGTGAACAATCGCTTTCACCATGTGTAATTATTTACCAGGCTTCCAGGCACTTGGTGACAGAGAGAATGACGTCTGTTTTTGATACACAATCCAACAAAGATGCGGGGCAGTCAGCGGACTGAACCACACATTTTGTGTGCCTTTGGTTCTGAGAATTGTTCTCGTGGAACGGAATACGACCGAATAGCATTGTTCAGTGTGCTTCTTACTGGCCGAAGCTAAGCGAGCACTTTCGAACAAAACAGTATGAGAACATTCGCCCGAAACCGTCGCAGTTGTGTAGCCACCAGTCGTTTCCACTCTCTAGTTTGGTATTTCGTATAAGGCAATACTGATTCCTGTAATACAACTAGAATGAAATTCCCTTGAAGACTTATAAGCTCAGCCTTGGGCTGCTTTCTGCCATATGAAAGTCACACGAGGGACGGAGTCTTTGGATGCCAAAATCCACTTAAATAACAGTTCAAATCGTATATGGTTAGGCCGAGGCAACATCAGTTTAGGTGCCTGAGAAATTATTGGAATCGTTTCACTTGGAAAATGCGGATGTTCATCACATGAGCGGTTTATCATCCTTCGGATGACGAATCCGAGATGATTGCTATATTTTACGTTTTGCAACCAGTTTTCTGCGGTTTGCTCCGTTTGCCCCTCCCCCCAGATTTTGTGGTACCCCATAGCTCGGCACCAGAACGTCCATTAGGATACCTAGCTAGGAATAGTTGAAACAGAACGGAGGTATCGACAGCTGCACTCATTTGCAAATCAATTTGGTTTTCACGAGAGAATCACGTGAATCTCTCGTTTATGATGTTCTTTAACTGAATGTGCTGCACACAGGCCGCCTCAGGTTTCAGTTGGTACCATATTCGAGATATCGCAGTATATTTTCACCGGGGGAACTACTCACAAGGTTGCTGAAAACCCTTCAATAGCCCACGATCGGTTCCGCCCTGCTTGGGGCTTATCAGACAGGCGCTGTCAAAGAGTTTTCAGCAACCTATTGAGTAGTCTCATTAGAACAGAGGTAGTGTGAGTGTTAGTGGGTAGTCGAGCACTTATTAGACTCTGGGGCAACGTGGCTCACATTTTAATTGCTAGTGTGATTATTTTGGTTGGACCATAAATAAGGAGATAACCCCACCCAAGTCTTGCTTTTATTCAGGCTCATAACTAGCGCTGTAAATGGTTGACTGTTCCAGCTTTCAGACTTCATACCTCCAGGGTACCACAAACAAACCTCAGTTATGACGCTAAACTCACGAACACGCTAGCAACTCAGATGATTCTAAAAAAATCCAATTAGGCAATAACCTCCTTGCCTGTCTGTCAATGGGACCTCGAAAAAGCTAGTAAACTGACATTTCCTAAGCTGCTTGATGTCTGTTTGGTTGTTTCTTTCAAATCAGGAGGTTGGTGAAGGCAGTCGTTTTCGGTTTCATTTGGATAAGTATTTGAAAAATCTGTGAAATATTTTTAAGGACACCTGTGAGCGTATCATTTTACAAGTCACTGACGACAAGTCGGTCATGGTGAAGTTTCTGCATGCTCTTCATTCGTCTTTGTCTTTATTTCATTCACAAATATCGTTTGCAGTAGTGACAGATTTCCCCTAAAATGATGGTTTGACGAATCAATCATCGCATTCTCATCAACTCGAAGACAGGAAACCATCACTGCGATGAATTTCAGTTCACTCATTGTTCCAGCAGGTCACCACCGCCAGTTTATCACTGATCCTGCTGTTTCTGTCCTCCCATCAATCCCTCAATTCCTCTGCATCTATGACTAGCTCAGTAGGCCAAACACTTTTGTGCACAAGGGTGGGACCAGGTACATGATTATAAGCACCATATAATCTTCTGACTGTAAAAACAAAAAAGAGGGGAGGACCAAGGCATAAACTCTACACAAATTTACTCATTCGATCCACAAACCTGAAGCAGTCGGGGGTAGCCATAGAATAAACAATGCTCTTATGACAACTGCTGCTGCCGTGACAAGTGTGCGTGCTGCGCACAAATATTACGCAACTAGTTTTGGTGGGACATACATGATCCACCCTGGTAAATCAGTGTTCCAAACACCTGGCCGACAAGAAGAGTGTCGGGAACCCGTTTCCAGTTGTAATTTTAGCGTTGAGCACATCTAATTGCATCAATGAAGCGATCCATCTTGTTCTTTTCGGCCCAAGATAACTAGTCGAGGAGCACCGTATGGTCGTATTGTTCTTGCTGTACTGTAATCAGGACTGAGTATTTCACAAAGCTGGAATCAGGTTTAGAAATTTCGCAGCGGGAATTTACCCTGAACATCACCTATTAGGGGCTAACACAGTGAGGCTGAAAGTTGATAGGAGGAGGTGACTGTACTTCTGATAAGCAGCTCAGAAGTTTTGGGTTTAAGAATGGCAAGTGGGACATTTTTCTATTAAACATCACTATATATATAACGCGGAGGGATATCTATATCAAAACTTTTAGGCACCAAGCTTCACATTAGAGCAGCTAACTACATACCCCCAATCAGAAGTGATTTGCTTTGAAACCGGGGTGGATATAGCTAGTAGATACACATTTCGGGTAAACAAAAATGATGTTAAACAGCCTTTGTACACATTTCAGACATCGATGACGTATTAGTGTTGTTGGGGGGGGGCTACACCATCAGTTTCAGTCCGAAACTATCGTTTCTCATGCAAAGGGAAATTTAGTAGTAGAGTGGCACATCGATATCCTGCACTGTTGTTCATAGGACTGTCCCAAAAGTACCAAATTTCAACCAAACAGATTCTGAACTACAGCAGCCCTAGTAGATTCCGTACCTTACAGAATCCACTCTGACTGCGTTGGTTCTTAGGCTGGATAAGAAAGCACACCAATGGAGCGCGGCTGAACGATCGATTTGTTGTCATAAGTTAGCTACAAATTGTGTGCATTTAAAAATCAATATTGAAGCACCTTTTTTTCCGGAAACAGAATGAGAGTAATGAGTTCTGGAAAACATCAGTAATTCGACAACGTGAACAGGTATATGCTTTTTCTTCGATATGTAAAGGTTAATACATAAGCAGGATTAGATAACACACCGTCTAATTTAAAGCTTGAAGTGAGGACCTTTTGAAAAAGAGTTACTTTGGAGTTCAGTGGGTTTAGAATGTGGTTGGTAAAAGTTCAGAAATCGAGCATGATTTATTTGCAAAAAATGCACAAATAAGTTCCAAACAAACCCTGAAGAGTCACTGGCATGCATACAAAGGCAAATTCTACAGGTTCGTTTGAAATGAGGCTATACTACACTGGACGTGGTTCCAGCTTAGCTACCATCACTATAGGTCATTTTGTTAGCCTGGGGCTGGGGTCCTCAAAACTTAGTCCTGTTCGGCACTTAATCAGCGCTCACTTCTATGAGAAGACGAAGTCACAAAAATTACTTTTGTTCACATGTTCCCGCACGATAGCTTACCCCTACATGTTTTCTACCACTTTGATGCTTAAATATCACAAAAAAGCTCTAGAATATCGCTACATTTTCATAAAAAGTTCCATCCTTTTCTATTAGACTGAGGCCCTGGAAAGTAGGCCAATTTCAGTTGCTTGTTGAGCTTTCCTTCTAAAAAGGACCGTTTAGTCGCTGCGACTAATCGTTTATTCTCTTGCCTGTTTAATGTTTCTGTAAAAACGATGGGGAAACTGTCAACTAAGTTAACGAGTTGAAGGACTCTGGGACAAATCTAAACTGCTCAAAACGGCTTAGATTCTGAGCTGCTTACTGACTGAAAAAACAGTACATAATACAGCCAGCAGTAAATAACTAAACACCATATATCTATAATTTAGTTACCACAGAAACCTAGAATTTTGGATTCCCATACGAACTAACGTTTGAGCCACTGAACATTCAGGCGAACTCATGTAAGCGACCTGGACTTTATGGACACACGTAAGTTCCTGTGTATCCGGAAAGTGCGCTCACTTGATTAATTAAAAAACTAACTCCCACTGCATGAAAAATAATCTAAAATGTGCGGAAGAGTTGTGGAATAATGAACAGTTACATGTTCTACAAATCTTACTTACCATGGGGTGTGAGATGCAACAGAAACCAAAAATACCGTAGCTACTCTGTCACACATTCTCAGAAGCCACATCACTCTATGGGAGAAAGGTGAAAAAATACTTCAGTGTTTTGGCCCGAAAGATATCAGCTACACAGATGCAACAGTTTGCCAGTACAGGATGTTTTCTGTGAAATTAAACCAAATTCACTCGGATTCATTGTTCTAGCGCCTATCTGGCTACTGTATTCTGGAAGCAGCTCGGCAGCCAAATGCTCCACAGAAATCGATGGATAGTATTTACCTTGAGCAATCGACAATGTCCCTGTGGTTATCAGTATGTAAAACGAAGTTAACTTGAATGGTAAAAATAAGGTACCTGTCTTTATCTGTGGTATAATACAGGCTAGTAAGTTTGGACACAGTTTGCTACAGTTTATTATACGTTCTAATTAAGGATGCCTAATCAGCATAATCCATTGCCAAGCTGGTAACTTGACTGAACAGATAGAAACTTGTTAGACGCACGCTTTGGGTGCCAACAGGCGCCTTTAGCAAGCATAGGTTTTTAGATGCAAATGCAAGTTACCAAAATCAGTTTCGACCACCTAGGCTAACGAAATTCCTTCCTCAACTGTGCTGATCAACTGGACTACCGGACCTAGATCCATTCGTTGTACTGGTATTACCATTTCACTTTTTGCACTGCTTTGCCCTGGCAACCAAGAATATCGTGCTCCTAAAAGCCAAGTCCGTGTTTGTCTTGGGCAAAATAAAAACAGCCTAATTTTGAACAGGAAATCTACAAAGCGGCCATCATTCCTCTGAGTGAGTTAGGAGGAAATTCTGCTTCCGTCCCAGTTCTGTAGCGTCGGTCGGTAAGTATGTGTTAGTGTACGTGTCTTTACCTGTGCAAGTGTACGGGAAGATGTCCCATCTTTATTGTTTCCCATACTGCTGACGTCGCTACCTCGTTAGAATACAGGTACACACTGCACAGACGGGAACATAGATAACCACACTCGAACGTGTGCAGTTTTTCCGTATATTCGCCTTAGGGGACAAATCAACAAAATGCTGTGCGCACAGACACTGGACGACAGGGAAAAAGTGGTTCACGAAAAGTATCCATTCTATGCCAAAATGAGGAGTAACCGGCCAGTGGCCCTAGAAATTAATTCATCGAATTCGTCGGTGTAACAGCTAGTCTGATTTCGGTTTATCGAACCACCTAGTTATCAGAAGGGCATCTGAAAACCTTGTGCGCATACTGCTATCCCTTTCTTCGGGGGCTTCCAACCTACTGGAAACGTTCACCATTGAGAAACGATCAGCTTCAGCAAGACTGCTGACGTAAGACATCAACCGCATGGATTGAAATCTGTAAGGGCGAATTTTTTTGCTGCCACATACCAGAAACGATTAGACGACACACGCTATTGGTCATTTGTTTATCGTAGTGGTACGGTAATTCACGTACATAGCCGGCACCCGAAACTCTGTAGCGCGTATCCGGGTTTCGGGAAACGGTATACATCACGGTAGCCATCACACATCAAGTCCGCGCTTGCAAAACAAAAAATCTTTATGACTCGAACCAGCGCGCCGGTTCGATTCGCCACATTGTGATTTCCTGTACTTATTTGGCTTCCTGTGTCATTATTGGTGGTCTTTTACCCAAAATTACTTGCTTACTTTCAGACAGCAGAGTAGCCAGTGATCAGAAAAGTTTACGACGGTCGTCCCCCTTCAGTCTTGTGTGGGATCACCCAGTTGTCTGTGGATCTCCCCTAAGTGTTCCATTTAGAAAAACGCTTATGCGACTGCCGAAGTGCTGTGATGATGCACAAATCAACCTCCACCAGGCAGAGTTGGCAGAACCACGTACGCCTGCACAGAATGGTTTACGTAATTTTGCAGTAACCAGTGATGCTGATCATTTGTGGGGAATGCCTTTACGAACATCTATCGGTCACAAATGAAGCAGGCGATGCAATGTCACGTGAATGGTTCAATTATCAAAATGAGTTCATTACATCTTTCGGTAATCTCTGCTAGCGGTCGTCAGCTTTTATTAACCATCGTTATAATTTAGACGTAATACATTACTCATAAGGTTCTTGAAGACTCCTCGGCAGCTCACGATGGGTTTCTCTCTTCTGAAAACTCATAAGATAGGCGCGGTTCCTGAGTTCCGGTAAACCGTATGCTCCACTTGAACCCAAATTGCACGCAATTCAACGTATACACTCATCTGTATACCGAATTGTTTTTGAAGGGAGGCTCACTTGGAACCTAACTAAATCTCTTGTTTATTTCAGGGTTAGATTATCGTGTTTGGAGGTAAACAGTGTTCTATAGGGGGATTACTCTGTGAACAATAATTCTAGGTCTGACACCCAATAATTCTAGCTCTGACACCCGGTAGTTTTCTATCCACGTGACTGGCAGTCCGAAAGGTGGTAGTTTGATCACCTAGAACACTATAACTTACCTGAAAGTATGTGAGGAGTGTACCAGAAAGACTGTGTATGAATCGAATGATATGAATGACAAAAACGGACTTTTTGGGTTTAGCTTGTTCAGCGCTTATTTATTAAAGGACAGCCTCATTATCTTCCCGGCTGGGACTTTTTTTCCATTACTACATAGACGACATAGGTCAACCTGTTCGTCGTTTGCCCCGCTCGCTGAATCTGAGCCAAATCCTCTTGATGCATTTTGATGTCAATGGTGAAATGAAGATGACAGCACGGCCATGTTTACGGGTTGCTCCAAAGACGCTTCAGGCGAGACATGCGATCGAGTAGATCTCTACCTCTTGTACTGGGGAAATACCTATAAACTTCGTTATCTATGCTTGCGCTCTCAAGGGACCATATACAGAGGCCCGTTTATATTTCGATTTTAATAAAGGTAGTATTTCTAGAGAGCTTTCTAACGACATAAACTGCCCCTTTGTCCATTGTATAAGTGCACTAGTAAGTATTACGCTAGAATCAGAGGACAAGCTCCCGAAAGAATAGGGTTGTCTTTCGACACCAGGCGGTAAAAATATTGAAAAATCTCAAAGACACCTATCTAAATATGTTTTGTATGCTAACCATAAAATAATGGTTGGACACGTAGTTAGCTACAAATAGTTAAACGGCTAATTTTGTTATTTCGCACTCAGCCCCTTAACTGCAGTTTAATTTCCTTGTTTTCTAAAAAAAGTTTTTTCTCCTAAGATAAACAACAAGTCAACGTTGACCTTGAAGTTTACCGTTCAAAAAGTGTTTCGTAGGAAAGAAAATATGCTAACTGTCCCTCGTCTGGTAGACAAACATTGCCACACCCAAGTGGCACCCAAGTACATAACTGTAAAAACACAACACGAAGAGACACGAAAATGGTAAAAAGGAGCCCTTCTAGACAAAATGGATGCAAAATACCAAAATGTAGATTCTGACTGTTCAGACTGATCGATTTCTCTTTTGCAATTCATGCAGGGTATTGTGGAATACGGTTCATTTTCGTGCTAACTGGAAAATATCAAGCCATGGTTCATCTGCGTTCAGTTCCGAAGTGAGTATAAAAATGGGCCAAAAAAATCAACCTAGAGTAAAACGTAGGTCCACATCCAACTAGGAGGCTTTCAGAGAATAAGGAAACCTCTGACCTGATACCCTGGATCTTCAGTGTCTGCTTATCTATGTAGTGTACTTATGTATTTAGCTCCTTTTTTGGGGGCTGCATAACTTTTTCCGAAGAGTTGTTGCCGTGAACTTGAATATCCTACAGATCACCGTGGCTCACAAAACTCTGGAGGGCCAACCTTTACTCTTCTGTGGTACTTGTGCCGTACTAAACTCATGTATAAGAAAGTAAAAACGATACAACTGAGGGATATGCAGTACGGTACATAATTTTCTTTGTTCGTCAAGGAAATGACACATTTATTTTACGAGGTTCAAACTGATGTGTCCAACGCAATGAAGTTCTATACTTGCAGCAACAGAGCAACACCACCAAGTATCCAGCGAGAGGGCTTCTCCTTTGTTTTCATGTTGAAAGTCCACACAAACGTCGGCCCTCTGGTTTTCGTTTTGTACACGGGGCACGCATAGGTATTTCGTAGATCTTGACGGTCAACTGGGATCGCTTTGAGAAACAGGACGGGTAAAGCAGGTGCCAGTTCTTTCAAACGTGCTTCGGTTATCATTCCTGTTTGTGTATCCCATCGTGCGCCTTCAATATAAAGGCCATGGGTGAATGCACCCTCACGTGGTGGTGCAGACATTTCTTCCCGGGTTTTCTTTGTTACGTCACACTGTAATACCATTCGGTCCAGCGGCCACTCATTTCTTCTTGCTGTTTGTTGCATAATTGCCGTCAGAAATGACTGCGGATTAAACAGACCACCTAGCCATACACTGTTTGGTAAGCTGAAGTCGTTAGTCCATGCTTCCAATTCCTTGATGCGAGATAACATGTCTGCATACCACATACCTAGCGGATATAAACTTGGGTAGGCTCGTTTCATCCATGATTCCGGTATGCCATCCAGTATGAGTGTGTTCCCAAGTGTCTCCATTTCCTGAGTAGTCGTCAGTTCACCTTTGATACCCAAACTAAGTTCCTTCAAGGAACGACGCATCTCACGAATCAAGATATTCATTCGCTCACATTCCTGGAATGCAACCACTACATATGGAGTTCTATCTTCTGGTGGTACTTTGCCTTGCAATTCGAGCATGTTGAATTCATCCGGTAATTTATCCAGTATTTCGTCCAATGTGGCTTGTAACTTCTCCTCTCTGCTTATTCCTGCCCCAGTTCCCGCACCTGAATCACGAGGTTGCATCTCCAACAGTGTTCGGAACAACTTTTCTGACGTATTGGTCAGAAACTCCATCTCAGCATTTGGGTGGAGCCCATACAGATAAGGGGATTCTGGTGGCAAATTATCATCAATATATTGGTGATATCCTTTGTAATCGGTGTTTTGTGGGACTAAGAATCCCGGTGCCAAATAGTGATCGCCATCTAACATTTCTGGTACGAGATATTCCTCCAGATACGTTTTGCACAATCGACGATCCCAGTCATCAGTCACGTGACCTCCATACATAATCTCCCCAAACAGGTAACGTAGATCTTCCCATGGAACCCTACTGTTGGTCTCCAAGTAGTTATACAACACGTTTACGCTTATAGTAAGGTCACCCATGTTAAAGGGGTACACTCGATTCCAACCTTGTGGGCCAAATTTTCTGCGTTCACAAACCACTGCATGGAAGTAACAGAGACCAAACAGAATGGTCTTGAACTCATTCTCCCGTGAGCACATTTCCAGTGTGTCCTGACTAAAATTACTCAACGCCTTGTGTAAATTTGCGTGCATTCCACTTGGAGGCTCATTGGTAATCTTAATGGCGTTCTCCAAAATTCCTTGTGGTATGATGTGGGATTCGGGCGAACCAGCAGGTTCTGCACTGATAAACAATCTGTAATTGGTGTGACCGTGTTCAGCGCACTCTTCCATACGTTTCTCCAGGGTAGGTAACCAACGAGCAACTAGATGTATGTTTTGCAAAACTACCCAATGGCCTTCTTTAGACGCCAGCTCCATAGCATTCTCAGCAACAACTTCCTGTCCCTGACCCAAGGATACATTGTGGAAGTTTTTGTTGTCGTTGGTAAATCCTAACTTTTTGCCCAGAGATTCTACGTCTTTCAGAGGGTCCACTCCAGGTGACAAAATAAAGAAGATGGGAATGGCTGGTCCAGCTTCTTCAAAAGACTTCGCGAACGGCATTCCGGAACCCTCCACGTACTTTGCTCCTAGTTTTTCCGTCACGAAATCTTTTATGGCGTAGACCATACGATCTGGGCGGAGTGCCCGCATAATGCAAAGTCTTTGTAGAGCATTTTTAGATTTCCATTCCTGAGGTAGCTTCTCTTTTTCCGGTGCCTCTCCATCCACTAGTTTTTTCCAGCGTTTCGCCGATCCTTCAATGTCCTTATCTAAATTACGAAAAGCTTCCATAGCGGACAAAGCCTTGATCCCACCCCAGTTGTTGTTGGACAAGAATTCCACCGGGGAGGTGACATTTGGTACGACGGGGAAACGTAATAGAAAGTCGAGTTCCAAAGGATCAAGTTCTTTGTTCATTAGCAAAATTTGGAATGCCATTTGTGCAAGGAATGTCATTTTATCTTGCTCAAACAGACCGCGTGACGTGTATACAAACACTGAGAAGGTAATGGTGTCAATGAGGTTACGCACCCTATCTTTCACCTCCTCCGCGGCTTCTGTGCGGTCAATGGCGACCTCGAAAACACTCCGGAAAGCCTTGAGCGAAAATTGATAGATCGGATTGATTTTATTCAAATCATTCAGAATAAAGTAGAGTAATGATGCGCGGGCTGCTGCCGGTCGATAGAGCTCACGCGCTTTGTTTATTTTGATTTCAGTAACCATCGATTGTTCCACTTGCACCTCGATGTCACTAGCTGTTCGCTTACTGGTCTCCAAGTTTTCAACCAGAGCATAATCCCCGAGGAAATCTCCCTCGGCGGCGGAGAGTCTAGCTAGCAAGCTGTCTTCCAGTTGTTTCAGGGTAATTTTGAACTCATTCTGTTGTCTTGTCAAATCTGCCTTCGATTTTTCTAAATCCGGTCTTTCTTTACTCACCACATTAGCCAAAAGCTGATCTTCCAGGCCATCGCGCGTTACCGTAAAATTAATCAGGGTTGTCTGGGCCTGCATCTCCGGTTTATAATGCGGATTGGCCAATTTAGTTTGGAGGATTAAACGAAAATCAGGGCTATATTCGACCTCTTTGTCACCGATCCGAATTGCTCTACCTTTCTTGATTGTCATACGACCTAGTAAAGGATCTAAGACGGGATCAACGGTTTCTTCAATATTTTCCAATAATACGGTATCCCCAGCGGTGATGGCTTGTTCGATACAGTCCAAATAACCTTTCTGACCCAGGCGGACCACGCGCAGGTTGCTTTCATAATGTGTCTTTATCCATTTGATTCCTTGTAGTTGAGGGTCGATCATCAGGGGCCAGCGCTCTGTATTTGTCAGTATCGTAGCATTTTCGATGGACATTCGATCAGCTGGGAGACCTTCGTTATTCCAGGCCGCCACCATAGCATCATCTGTCAGCATCTGCAGGGGATCCAGACCTTGCCTTTGGGGGATTGGGGGATTCAAGGTGCTAAGAAAAGGAATCCAGCAGGTTTCCATTATGGCAGTTCTGTAACGTTTTGTAAAGCACCCAACGTAGGACAGGAACGCGGCAGTGAGTAAAACATCACCGGGCAGGGTCTTCGCTTGAGATTTGAACAATTCAACTTGATTGGCCCACCGAACTTTCTCTGAAGCCAAGCCACCAACAAGTCGGTTAGCAAGGTCAATCGTCTTCATTGTTGCATCGGCCTCATCTTGACAACGCTGCTTTTCTGCAGACGCAATCTCAAACTTGGTTGTCAGCTCTTTCAGAGTCAACTCCAGTTCCTTGATTTTCTCTTGAATACTTTCAAGTTTCTCAGTAGCTTGGCGCAATTCCTCGTTAGCTTCGTCCAGTGCATCACGTTTGGGTTTGACATCACAATATATTTTGTAAAATTCCACAATGTTGATTACCCATGCGCATAGGCCTGCAGCTGCAGTAGACTTACTACGAATAGATTCAGGATCGAATTCTGGATCCTTGATGTAGTCTTGGACAGCTTTTAGACAGTTTTCATGTATATGCTCCTTGTCATAGTGAATTAATCTGTCCAAGAAGGTATCGATCTTGCTCATGATCCCGGCTTTTGCAGCTTTCCAACTCCTGTCTCGAGGAATTTTACCATCAGGAGCTAGTAGAACCATGACTGCTGCGGACACAGTGACCACGGCGGGTGGTGGTGTTCCGAACGACTTCATCTCCGTCAAATTGTTTTTATTCAATGTATTTAGCGCTTCTTGGGCCGCAATCAAGGCAGGTTCTGCTTTAGCCAAATCAATTTCACACTCTCTCTGTTTTATCGACACCTCGGCCTTAATAACAGCAACTTTCTTCTCTTCCTCATTGGCTATCTCTTTTTCTCCTCTGACCTTTTCTGTTTCTTCCACGACGACGGCCAACAATTGGTTGGCATCTTCATTCTTCTGGGCGAGCTCCACTTCTTGAGCGGCTAGTTTGGCCTTCAACTCGTCGACTTGTTGAGCTGTACTTTCGAGCTTCTGCAAACCATTCTCCATACGATGAATTTTTGCTACCAAATCATAGTGTTTTTTCTTGAACATATTTGAATACAGCTGAATCTGTTCCAAGAATGACTTGGGTGTTGTGTAGTTGTAACGGCGTTCATTTTGCAAGTAACTCGCACTAATCTCATTCACGGCCTGGTGGGCGTAGGTCATAAACTGTGACACAGATGGCCTGAGTTCTTCTGGTAATAGTTCCATGTTTGACAAGAAGCTTGTAGAAACGGACAAAAGGGCTTCTTTTGGCCACTCATGAAACCAGTCAATACTGGTGCAGTTCACCAGTGCGGGAAATCTTCTGGCTCGGACTCGTAATGTGGAGCCGACGGGAGAAAAGCACAATACTACCTTCAGTAGACGACGCACTTTGTCGATGAAGTACGCCCAACAATTCTCCCGAGTATCTTGTAACCCTTGGGACTTCACTTCGCCACGCATAGCGTTAATAACATTTTCATATTCGTCATCTGGAAGTAGGTCAGGAATTTCACCAGATGCCAGAAGGTCATTGATGATCACTAGAAACTTCTCATCGGCCACTTGAGCATCTGCCAATAAGAACACCGTACCAGTGTTTTTCAACCCAGCTTTAAGATACAGGTTGGCCAGAGCAGCTTTTAGATCAGGTATGCCGTATCCCTTCCGGAGAGTAATTTGAAACACCTCAAGCGAACTTATGAAAGCGGCCAAGCGGGATAGTGACTGTTTTCCTGAACCACCGACGCCAACCAATAGGGCATTCCCTCTGGGCAGTTCAAGAATCCTGTTGATCCGCAGTATATGGCTGACAGCATCTTCAAATAGGACCAGATTCATGACGGCATTGAGTTCATTGTAGCTATCCAAAGCATCGTGCAATATCTTTCGTATATCTGCCTGGTTCTCCACAGGCATGTATTTCGGTTCACCGATCCCAAGAGCAAAGTGACAGAACAGATTTGGTGACCGAAACAGCGCGCTCTCATCAATATCATCGAGACTTTTCTTAGTAATATCACGAAGAAGTCGGTCGAAAGTTTCCACATCAGCTCTTTCCATGAGTTTGTCCGAATAGACACGATGAGATTCATGCATCCACAGCCGGACCAGATCCGTAGGCTGGTGCAACAAGTCGGTATTTCCGAAAAGCATTCCCTGCAAAACAATGGTTTCAAATGCGTTAGTTAGACTGTCATGGTTGCAAACATTAGAAAGAGTAGAGAAATTAAATAGAAGTAAAGAGATTGCGACCACGAATAAGCCAAAGTATCGATGTGTGAGAAGCTTTGAGGTTAATTTTTTTATAGAACGATAGTGCATAAGTCCTTCCGGTGTAAAATTTATACAATCAATATGAACTAATTGGAGCACAAATTACTTCTCCAAATCCATGACTATATCAATTCAAGTTGGGCTAGCAGATTGCAATGTGTATGGAGAGGTTCTATCTCGTCTAGAACGTGCGCAAATTACGCTTTATGAGTATAAACTATTGGACAAAGGGTAGTGAAAAAACGACGGATCTTTAAAATAGAGAAAACAAGCACAACATTTTCATAAGGGGAACTACTCACAAGGTTGCTGAAAACTCTTCGACAGCCCACGACCGGTTTTGCTCTTGTTAGGGCTCATGAGATAGGCGCAGTCCCCGAGTTTCCGTCAACCTTATGATCTACTGGAACCCAAATTGGACTGTTTTTATATATCATAAACGAGAGATTCAGTTGAGTCTCTCGTGAAAACCGAATTGATTTGCAAATGAGTGTATTTCTCGAGTTCCGAACTACTTTGAAGACTGTTGGACCAGTTGTTCAAGAATCTTCCAACAATACAAGTTGTATCACCACTGAAAAAAGCAAGTGCATGCTAATTCTGCTCAACATAGGTGTGGATCGTTCGCATTCCGCGTCACCTTCAAACAAGGAACGCACCCATCCAAGTGCCGAGTAGGGATTCTGCACTATAATTCATCTAGTTACTCGAATCGTGGTTAGATTACTGAATTGATTTTGATTTAAAAACAGAAACTAAAGCGTAGGATTCAAATCTCTAACGCCCCACAACATTGTTTTTCACCTCACAAAAACAATTGGCTCCTGGTGACAGATCGACTGTCCAGTCACTTTCATCAATCACTTCATCATATCCCAAGGGCTTTGAAAAAAAGGACTGTAGAATCCCGGAAAATCACACCGGAATGCTCGAAATATGCTAATATAAACGAAAGTCGCCTGTGTCAGATGGATATCGGAAAAGAGGCTCTATCGAGAGCTTTCTGAATACGCTCGATGGAACACACTACACATAAAGTAGCTGAACACGCCCCGACAACCGGCAACTGATTGCGCCTATCTTGGACCTCATCAGATAAGTGCACTTCCCCAGTCATCATCAGCCTTATGTTCTACATGGACCCAAATTGAACGGAATCCACGAAATTCATTCATTTGCATAATAATTTGGTCTTGGACGAATGACCCAACTGAATTTAGCTGACTTTTGAGAATAATTACTCCGTTTCCACCCATTTTTCAAACTCACAAGTTTTTGATACATTTCTGAATTCTACATAGTTATGGAAGAATTGCGAATGAGTGTCAGTACTGTTCTCATATTCAAGTGGGCCTTCTGAATATGATTACATCAAGTAAGGGAATGGTTCTGATTAGTGTGCTGAAAGAGTACACGAGACCAGAATGATTGAGAAATCTTGTATTAGAACTTTATCATTATCTATAGCAAGCCTAACAATACCACAAGCAACATTCTAGCTCACCTAAGCGAAGTGCCTACCCTAAATCGGCTGTCTGCAGTAAAATACGCCAACTCTCTTTCGCGTTAGACGTGTTTTGTTTTTCACCAGTAAATGTTCCACTGTTCCTGCTGAAGACCTTGTAGCATTCCGATGGATTGAAAACCCTAACGGGAGTATATGGTAGTCAAAAGAGTTTGTTCAACTTTCCATCCTGATTTTGTTATATCCAACTTATGATGGCGTTATTAGGTCCACTACATCCAGCTCTGTAGTCAGGCAACCGATTCTATCCCCCAACATTCAACCAAGATCTTGAGGATTCACAGTTGCATCTTGTGTCGTCCGTAGAGCAATACTAAATCAGGGTTCCCCATCATATCGTTCTCCATTCCACCTCTCCTGTTCCTCACTAGACACCGAAAGGGTGTTACAGCTGAACGACTATTGTTATTATTATTATAGCCAACCGTAGGCAGATCTGCCCCCAGTTTCCTCGCCACCACTACATTCTTTTCGAAGGTGGTGTTTGAGTTCGCACCAAGTCCTCTCTTTCTGTTTCCTTATTGAACTCATTTGATGCTTCCTTGCCGAACTTTCATTTGCCGTGGTCCAAATGCAGCATTTGCAAAGTGAGCAGATAATTTTGTTGTACCTATCGGTCTCATTTTGGAAGTGAGGAATCAGTACTTTTTTTCGCACCGAGTGCTTGCTGGGAAGTCATTCTGCGGTCGAATTCCATCGAGGAGCTGCACGTTTTCGACAGTTCCAGCGCCGACTTCTTGCTCACTCAGCGGATGCCGACCCAGCCTGCCATGAAGGAAAAGTTTTACAATCATCTACTCCCCATCCCAGATCCTTTCTTGTCTTACTCGAAGTATGGACAGTGACAGCCAGTCATCAGTTCTGAATTGCTCATCGTTCTTCATGACCTATGGGCTCCTCCACTCCAACGATCTCTCCGACCATCGTCCAGTCATTCCCATTCCTTCATTTCCGTTTACTTCATCCCCCTCTTCGTCTCAGCGTGTCTTTTGGGTTGCTCTTCAGTCGACTGGATAGCTTGCATTATTTCTTTTTTGCCCGTGTACGCCATCTCAAATTTCGTTGACAACACTGTTAAGGTTTTTATATTGGTGTGCTGCTCAAAAATTGGCAGACTCTCCTCTCTTGAATGGTTTATTCACATCTATGTTTGAATGGCAACAAAAACTCACTACATAGCCACTGGCGAAGGAAAAAAAATGAAAATGATCGTTCAGATGCTACACCCCTTCGGTACCCGACTTCCATGGCACCCGAAAGAAGTATGCTAGGTTGCCCAAGCTTAGAAAAGAACAGTCAAAGATGCCATTAGTGAACGCATTCATCTGACTACGTGATTTTTGTAACGTCTACTCCACCACCATCGACAAGGCATCAGATTTGTTACTTAGGTACAAGGTTGAGATGTAAATCTCGCAAAAAACGTCGGCCAAAATTTTTCCCATTCGTGATCCCCCTATAATCGCCAAGTTTTACCGCAGGAAATAGCCATAATCTTTGCTCAGCATTTTGCTCCCTTTGGGCCTAGTGGGGCCCAACGGCTGTCACGCACTGTGCGTGTGACCTGCACTGCATTCGTTAGATTGGTTGACAGTGTTTGTTAATCGCGTTGTCAGCGGTCACCCAGCGCTTTGTCATTCGTATTTGCTTCAAGTCACAGCTCCCAGAAGTACACGTCCCATGCACGTCGCTGTCTGCATTCTATCAGATCTGATGGACTGGTTCAAGTGGGCACAGGAAACATGACTACAGCGGGCATATTAGCGGCCGCAACATCTCCGACTGAGCCATATCGCCCCCATCAACTATCTTTTAGTCACTTGTCTCTACTCGTTATTACAGTTAGGGAAGCCGGTCATTCAGATGTTCCACTTCACAGACTAAAGCCTTCCGGTTTGAATCGCATTCCACTCTTTTGCATCAAGCCTTCGCTCCAGAACTTACCCTCTGGAACAGTCGTACTCTCCGTTTTCGGAGCTTCTTACTATACACAGTTATTCAAGATTAGGGCTTGGGCTTAACGGTCGAATTCCAAGTGACTTTCTTATGAGTCTGATCACACTTTTTTTCATTTCCGTCAGATGTCTATGTGTTCCTGTGTGGATTAAATATATTATTCGCACTTTTACAGGGGTCTCGGAACTTTGGTATTTCTCTCCCCTGTATGCCGTGATGTTGATAAAAAAGAAAGGATTCTTGGCGGAATATACTAATCATGGGGTCACTGAAATTCCGGTGTTGCCATTCTTGACGCTCATCAGATAAGCCCAATCCCCAAGTCACTGTCAGCCTTATGTTCTATCTGAAACCATATTGTACGCAATTCGCGAAATACACCCATCTGCCCACTAATTTGGTTTTGGATAAGGGACTCGACTCAATCCAGCTTAATTTCTCTTTTATATCCCTCAACTGAATGCGTTGGACAAAGAAGGTCACACGTCCCAGTTGGCACGATATTCTAAATATCGCAGTATGTTTCGTCAACTGCACACGAATTGGTGTTCAAGTAGGACATACAGTTGAAAGAAGCTCATGGACTGTGCCTACATGATTAGTCCCAGAATGGGTGACACCGGTGAGTGGTTGTTGATGAGTAGTGCGCCCCGTCAGGAAAACAAAAATTTGTCAGAGATTCATACGTTCTTGCTGTGGCCATAGACCAGATAAGTCGTTCAGAACTGAAGTCGCTATCAGCTCGAAAGACTCCCAGTCCCTTAGGCACCTAAATAAATTCATAGATCTTGAAAAAACCGAAGCTGCCTGCACACGCAAATACCTAGGAAGTCGGGGGAACAGTGGTTTTTATCTCAGAACATGGTAAAAAACTATCAGTTCACTCACTTGGAACAGGTTAGACAGGTCTCGTAGATTGAAAAGATAATGGAATTTGATCGCAGTAGGCAGGAAAGTGCTGCTGACCCGTGCATGAACAGTTAGTGCGATGTCTGTCAATTGCGGGGCGAGTTTTCGCACAGCCTGTGGACAGTTGATCTCTGCCAAATGTTGGCTGAGTATGGATGAGTAGATGGTTCTTAGTGCCTCTTGACCGGGAAAGCTGAGAGCCAGTACACAGAAGTGACGCTAGAGAAAGACACATGAAGATTATGGAATAATTGTCTCGAAATTTGACAAATACGGCCCGGAAATGAACAACAAAACAGGGTAACTAATAGCACATAGCATTTTGAATTCACGAGTTCGATGAAATCTGAGCCTGTTTCATTGACTTACGTGAATAGATCATTTAAGACGGACCCACTGTGAAATAAAGCGAGTGCAAGTCTGCCACAAAAGTCCATCAGTTTACACGGGCTAGAATTTCAAACCAGATTGGCACTTATTCGCCTCAAACCTCAGTTGTCTGTCGACCTACATGTGGTCTGCAGAGGTCACCCATCAGATCACTTGTCACAAACACAAACCACATGACAATTCCTGTCCCACTTGCAACCTTAGCCGACAACTTGTACACTACAAATTCTCATCCATTTTTGTTTACCCGGCTACCACTTGCGTAACGAACCAGGCTTATGAACTTCAGTACATCAGGTCAAGTTGTACTCATGTTCGTGCAAGCATCAAATACGAAGGAACACCCCTCTCTTCACACTGCACGCAATAAATAGGCATACATCTAAGCTCAACACACACTTGCGTCCATAGGACAGGAAACCAACAGAGCTCCACACGTCTCCACGGAGAACTACGGAACACGTATAGCAGCTATATTGCTGAGAAGACACGTCCCGCTTCCGGAACTTCACTCAGGAACTCTCAACCAGTGTCCTCCACGTCTGACACACGGTTTCCCTAAGAGGCAAACCGTCCCCTGGCATACAAATTGCATGGCCTAACAAGCTTCACCTGTTAAGTGTGATCCAATATCCCTGGTTTTAATGCCCGAAGATCACCTTAGTGGCGTTAATCCAAAATAGGAAATGGAAGGTCTTGGCGTGTGGAAAAACTTGGCAAGTAAGGGAGGTCCGGGAAGTCTAACATTTTGCTACAAACTCAACCCAACTTAAAAATTTATTTAATCTACATATCATCGGGAACTATGGATCATAGGCTTAATCTGAAAACTCCAAGTGAACCGACATTCGGACGGACGTATCAAATGGCAATCAAGGGAACCACAAAACCGATAGGACGAAAACACCGGATGTGAGTGGCTGAGGTCGAGTTCACAGGCAATCTGGACGATAAACAATAGGAAAACGGGACAACTAGCGACTCAACGGAATCGACCGTCCCAATCGAGACTCACCATCAAGGGTCATTCTCCAGAAGTACAAAAACTCGACGCCTACAAACAGATGAAACGCCAGTTTTTTACGCTCTGATGATGGCACTTGGACTGGTGAAGAAACGCTGGCAACCAAAATGGCAAGCTCAGCGAACATTCCGTTCCTGATTATGCATAAGCCTCGCCACTGAATTCTTCCACATATTCTCAAATCTAAGCAGATGGACTTATTTTATACTTAAAGTACTTGTTGTCTTGTCACTTAAATCCCTAATCAACCTCTGTTTCTTATTCCCAGCACAACGCTTGTGGTTAAATTTTCTTGGTAGGATGATTGTCCAGAGAATCGCCCACCATATTTCCTCATTCCAGAATCCTACTGGAACATACGATTTTCCTATTCCAGAAGGAAAGAGGGCGTTTATAACCATGGAGCACCACCGTAGATGGATCCTTGAACGTCGTCTTGGTCAAGTGGAGCGCAGGGAATATTAACGCCCTAATGAAGTTTGACACTAGCGAAACACGCTCATTTGCGAACCAAGTTGGTTTTACGAGAGACTCACCTGGAACCCAGCTGAATTTCTCATTTGTGATGTTCCCAGGCAACTGAATGTGCTGCACCAGGCCGCCTCATGTTTCAGTCGCCACGATATTCGAGATATCGCGATACATGTAGTCCCAAGAAAGGCGAAACCGGTCGACGAATTTTCAGCAACCTTATGATTAGTGCATTACGGAGTTTGACACTACTTTAGCACATCAATCGACAACTGATAACAAATCCAATGAACGGCTGCGTTGAGCCGTGCATACTGAAAATGTGAGTGTTGATGAGAATGGAAGCAATCACCGAAAAAGAGTGGATTGATGCAAATGAGTTTACCAATGAGGGTATTTCGCTGATTTCGTGCAATTTGGTTTCAAGTAGAACATAAGGTTGACGGAAACTCGAGGACTGCACCTACCTGATGAGCCCCAAGAAGGGTGAAACCGGTCGTGGGCCGTCGAGGAGTTCTCAGCAACCTTATGAGTAGCGCATTACAAAACAGTGGATGTGATGGTTTTTCGTGTTCCATGTTCCATGTGTTTACCTGTCACGGGACTGGTCATCGATGGACCAAGTAAAACTTTAAGTAAAACTTTGAATTCTACTAAAAATGTGATGAGTGCAGCAAAAACAGCTATGGTTTTTGGTCAGAATTGTTAAACTGTGGAAGTGAACGAGCTTAGTGTGAAATATCTCACCTGTAGCCGAGAATCGATAGTGAAGCTACCAGCTGTTGGGTTCATGCAGGCAACGTACTGCGTGTTGTGTATCTCTTTCAAGGTCAACTTTTCTCGATCATACCAATGTGAATGATCAATGTGCTGTCGTATCAGACAGTGTGGCTGCACGGTAAAGTACTTGTCAACCTCAGGCATATTCAAGTCGTCAATGAAATAGATGAGCCGTTTGCTTCCCGGTGGACCATAGTTTCGGCCAGCTTTCTTTTCAAGTGGTTTTTCAAGCACCCTCTGAAGCATTTCGCTGGTAGTGTAGAAATTGAACGGGACGTTCGCTATCATGACGTCTTCAGTGAAACCCGAAAGCGTGTTTTGTACCAAGACTGTTTTTCCTGTTCCTGCGTTACCAGCCAGCATGACCGGACGTCGTTGGTCCAGTAAGTGTTCAAGGAAATAGCGTATGCGTACTGTCTCACTAGTGGGTACCAAAGTAGCCTGGGGAAAACAACAAAAGTCGAGAGGCTCGAAAGAAGGGGATTAGTGTGTACTTGCGTTAAGCGAGCTTCCTACCAACAGGCTAAGGGATTTCTTCTGTTTATTGTGTACCGTGTGTTCAAACGCAGCGCGTCTAACTTAAAACTCAAGACAACGTTCGCGTTGGCTATTGATGTCACGTGGTCATATGGTAGGCATAAGGCAGCACAGCTTTCTGAACCGTATAATGATTTGGAAAAGTCGGATGCTATTTTTGTGTTAATCCTTAGAAGGTGTTCTGAACAAAAACAATGACTAAGAGCAAAGTAGGTAATCTGATGTTTCGATAAGCAGGGATGATTCCCTTGAAGACTAGTTAATCGAAAAGTGACCGACTACTTCGGTCGTTTGATGTCTGTTTCTGACGGGTAAACGGAGAGAAAATTATACTGGATGTTGGTATGCGGATAATTTTACGGGGTTTCCAATATTACTCAAGGTCACCGAATTGAGGGCCTAGATCAAATAAGAGGACCTTTACTGGAGTATGACAGGCGATGAGCGAGTCTCTGTGTATGTTCCGGAATTGCCAGTGGCTTTGTGAACAGACTGAGCGTGCTTTGTGTTCTTTGTTTCAGAATACGCTGCGGAAAAATTTGATTCAGAGACATCAGGGGATGATCTGAAAGTTTTACCATGCACATACAGTTCATGTGTTCCTCATCAGAAACACATTGATTGCTTTGCTTCGAATGTTAATACGAAACGCTGTGTAAAAAGACGCCAAGCTCATCCAATGTCTCCCGGATGGGTACTGAGTTATAGGTTCTTTGTGATGGTTTTGTTTGTGTCCTGTGCCTGTGATTCTTAACAAATGCTGGTTGGACGCATTTTAGTGGACACATGATGCACAATCCAGAGAACCGTATTTGACAAGCAGCTATCATCAAAATTGTGAAATAAAATAGTTTGGATGAACACCAATCGTCTAACTGAAGAGTTACCATAGGAAGCGCATCAATTTATAATATGTTGGATCAAACGGCTCGATTGACTTTAATACTGTATTTCATGTTCACTCCAGTTTCATCACAGACTGATTTTTGGGATCCCATTTTGACAGGGGAACTTCACTAACCGCTTTTTGGAAGCTTGCGCCCGCCTGGCGCAAATAATTGTTCTGGTCCCAACCACATGGTCAGAGGTTAATCTGGATTACTAACTTTAATCAGGAACCAAAACATGTAGCATATAATTTTCAGGATATAGACGGAACGTTTCATTTGTACTGGTCCTCAAGTTGTAACCGGTGATCCTACTAGTCGATATACTTGTGCTAGTACTTTCAACTGCTCCCGATACTTGGTTAGTAGGTGAGGCAAAAAAGCATGTAAAAGATTATTCAGAGAACACATCAAAACGAGATCAGACATTATGCGTGAGACTGAAGCTGTGTACTGAGCAACTAACTTGTAGAGGTATTTCTGGATCCAGTTGGAATTTCGGTAGCTTTTTTGTCCATGGTTCGAACCGTTTTGTCTCTGGATCAACGTAATAGTCGAATACTGTTCCGCCGCTGGGGAACTTGATTACTTTGAACTCTGTGCACCACCATTTGCTGAACTCATTTCGGTGATCCACCAGCTGATCTTGAAACAGGGCTCCGCCAAATGCCCAAACGGAGCAAAACACAAAATACAACTCATACCACTCCTTAGGACAGTCTGGTGGTGTGTTGCGTGGTGTCAGATGACAGTCTAGGAGGTAGCACAGCATCTGGACATGAGCAATATCAGGTATCGGAGTGATTTTCTTGAATCGCGAACGCAGCGCCTCCAGACTCGGACCGACATATTTGTCAAAAAGGATGGTCAGATTTGCCTGTTCGGATTGGACTTCACGCCTAGCGACCCAACTGGAAATGAAAGGCGTTGTACCAAGATCCTGAAAGAAATGATGGAAGTGGAGGTCATTTTTCACCTTTTGAACAGATTCTTATGTCACTGCACCGTAGTTATCACAAGACAGCAACAGTTGCATCAAGGTGAAGGAAGTTATGACCAGTCAAAATTATGGCTCGTCATCAGCAAATCTGGGGTCGATTGTTTGGGGTTCAGGTTAGGGTTCCTTTTCTTGGCGAATTACACTGCTCATAAGGTTTCTGAAAGCTCTTCAGTTGCTCTTCGTGTGGCTCATCAGGCAGGTGAGGGTTCTGGAGTTTTTCTCAACCTTACATCTTGTTCCGATTACGCTGTTCATTACTGGACACATACGTGACTAGGGATTATGCGTACGTCTGAACTCATCTAGCCGAACATGGGCATCGGTAATACGCGACATTCGTGGATTCGATTCATTCTAGCACTGACGATAGTCGCACAGAAGTGAAACAAGCGAGCTTAGCTATGATTGCCGATGACTACGATAATTGTAGTAGTGATAATTTGTGCACAAGAGTAACTTCGCTGAAACTGAAAACGAGCTGACGGGGCATTGCAGATTTCCAAGTCCTCTTTCATTCTTCAAAGTCCCGTCTATTTTCCAGGATCACTTAGGCTTGGTTTACGGAAATCGTGCTAGTCCGAAAATGTGACACTGAATGCACATGACCTTGCCAGATACCCTAAGCCCTCATTTCTCAATTAGCTGCCAACACCTGGGTAACGCTTTCACCAGTACAAGTACGTTATAGGGAAGATAGTAGGAAAGTGAATCCAGGGAGTCGCATTGCCAATTTGCTTTTGTCAGTCAATAGGTTTTCAAGGTTGGGTTTGCTTTTAGCTTCCAGAAACAAAAAGATATTCGCATGTCTAACTAGTAGCCGTATAATCTTAGAGTACTGAGCTACTGAACAGCCTACTGGATGCTAACAATACAGGTTCCCTGTGGGGCAAAATGACAAAGCATCAGATTTCCTCTACCAGCAGAATGGGATTTCTACAAGTACGATGTGAAAAATGTTGATCAGGTGACGTAAAAAAGCCTCGAAAAGATGCATCTTTTTTCTTTCAATTTTATTCCGTGATAAAATTTGTAAATGACAAACATGTAGCCTCTCCTTCAAAATCAGCAGATCTCCGTGCCTCGTATTCAGCTTGACACTCAACAGAGATTCCGATGAATTCACATTGTTTCTAGCTACGTAGGTTCGGGTTTGCTTGAAGGGAATAAGATGGAAGGGATCCTGGTAATCCGTGGCGCCTTGGTGACATGTAGCCAGCTACTTTACACTTTATAGGGACTGGAACGGCAAATCAGTCAGATGGCGTCTATCAACTGGCTAGACAATCACTACTTTTCCGAGCGATTATTCTCACCAGGTTGTAGGCCCGAAGTTGACTTGTAACAACAATAGGTGAAGAACTAGGCTAATAATGTTGGAGTTTTAAGTGTAGTAACCATGAGCCATGGTTTCGGAAAGGATATCAGAATATTCACTTTTGATGAACTCAAACTTCAGTAAGTTGGCAGTCGAGTCGAGACCACTCAATTTGCTTTGATCTTCACAAATTTTGTGTGAACACAAGCGCCTATGCGCACACCAAAGCACAGCTTAATTTGAATAGGACTTGTGATAAAGTGAACCCCTTCAGCTGAATTGTGTTAAGAGGGATGTGATCAAGAGCACCATTAAGCATGTTCAGAGTAATCGCTTTAGCAAGACAGCGAGATGAATTCGCTAACCGAAAACTGAGCTGTGAACGTAATAGAGGCATCAAAAACCATAACACTATGAAAAATTTACCTGAGGATTGACATAGAGGATGCCAGCTCGGGAAACTGTAGCTGGTGTTGCAGTTTTCAGATGACTGATCTCAAACAGCAAGCGCATTGTACTTGTCAGCGGGATGCGTTCATTACTTGCCAGTGTGAGTACTTTGTTGTCGTCCATGACGGTATTCAATGATTCGATCCACATTGGATCAATATCACCATCCAAGACGATCCACTTTGGGCCGTCATGCGTCAGATTGGCCAGGTCACGCATCACCACAGAGAACAAACCATCTTTCCATTCGCGCGTGGCCGGGTGAATGACACCGAACAATTCATCGTTAGTCACGGCTTTTGGATCTAAGTCTATAGCGACTGGCTTTTTCTTCAAATTCTGATACGTTCGATTCAGTGTCCGCCAAACCATAGATTTTCCCGTTCCAGCATTACCCAGTACAAAAACTGAGTGTCTAACCGCAAACAGCTCCTGAAGTTGTACGGCTTTTAGGATAAAATTGTCCTCCGGCTGCAGTTGTAAATCCAAGGCTGCTTGTCGAACGTATTTTTCGAATTCCAAGTCACGTTTGCGAGGTACGTCCAACGCTGGGAAGAGGTCACCAATTAGCCCCATAAATACCGGCAAATCGTCAGTGACAATTTTTGGGATGTTGAAATCTCGAAGAGCACGCATCAGCACCTGATCTTCAGCGCGTCCTGGATCACCACGTTTGAGAGCACCGGCCACAACCAGGACGGATTTGATTGCACGTAGTCCCCAATCATAATGGTCTTGACGTGACAGGAGCTCTTTACACAGGTTATAGAGAGTGAGGAATTTTCGGGCTAAAAGGCGTGCGTTCATAAAACCTTCAGCAACGAGCATGATTTCACATATGAGTTCAAAATCAGGCACTACCATGGCACAAGGTCGGAAGAGAGCCTTCAAATTTTCGGGTAGTTCAGCTCTGCCAGCATAGCCTGGATTCATTGTAATGAATAATCCAACCACAGGATCTAGGCTGATTTCGTCTCCGAGGAAATTAAAACGTTGCTTTTTGTCCCGAATAGCGTCTTGAATGGTCTTGACCTGTACTGCGACAACAGACAATACTTCAACAGAGATTCGATTGAATTCATCAAAGCAGCCCCATGCACCGGACTGCGCCAAACCCTTGTAGATATTTCCTATAGATTTATAATCCATTTGTTCCGAACAGTTGAAGACGTAGACCATGATGCCCAGCGCTCGGCCCAAGTCTTTGGTCGTTTCCGTTTTACCCGTACCCGCTGGACCAGCAGGTGCTCCGCTCATAGTTAGATGAAGTGATTGGGTCAGAGTGATGTAACATCGATCAGTCAAGGGTGTGATCACCAATCGTGGTGTATTTCCCAAATATTCATGTGCGTACCGGAATTGAGCATCACAAATATTCACAAAACAATCTTTTTGTTTGTCATCCCACCGATGACGTAACTGGCTGATCCAAGTAAAAGATTGGGCGTTTTCCACTTTCTGAGCAATCATTTTTGCTACCACATCACGGTTATGTACATCAATTGTACAGATCGTCATAACTTTTTGACGGTCCTGTGCGTTCAGTTCTCCTATTAACAATGCAATCAAACTGTTCAACTGATGAATTTGTTTCTTATTGTACTCCTTTAGCGCGTTCTCAAAGCCCTCCTCCAGTCGGCTAAAGTTGATACTGACCTCAGCAGTCCATCCGATTTGTGAACCTGCCAACGCGACTTGGGCAGGATACTCGAACAGCCATTGATCACGGGCTTTCTCCTCGTACGTTGCCACTGCATCAGCCAAGTAATGTCGAACCGTGGCACGCATTTCACCTAACAGCCTATTTAACCACACTTCAACCTGCCCGTCCAAATCAGTTTCTTTTGACAGGGTTACCTGTTCACCATCCTTTGCTGTCATCTTTAGAGCTATCTTGGTGTTTGACTTGCCGTCCGCTTTCTTTTTAAAATCCAACGAAGCCATACTATCAAACAGTTTGGTCAAATGTTTTGTCACTTGCTCTGGCATATTTCCATTTGACAGAATGTCCAATAGGTCAGTTGGAGAAACAAAGTAAAACCTGGGAAAGGCCAAGCGTTTGGTCTCCAAATAGGCAGCTAGTGCTTTTTCGCACAAAACCAAATCCTTCTGAATCAATTCCAGTCGTTCGTACAAACGAGGTTTACTGGTTGATCGAATTACATTAAGATCTTCCGTCATCTCCTGGAGTAATTCGATAAAATCTTTGTCTATTCCATCAAAACGAGCTGAATCTTCAGGGAGCTGTTTGCGAATATCTTCTGATCCAATGAAAATTGATTCCAAATAAAACCAAGTTCGCTGAACTTCTAGTGCCACAGTGGTGACTTGGTCTGCAGTGGATAGTTTTTTTTGCCAAGACGTGACTTCTTCCAGAAAGTGTGCCACATATTTGGAGGTGAGCATATTCTGCAGTTGAACCTGGTTTTCTTCCAACGTTTCGATTAGCTCTTCACGAGCTTTGATCATAGTGATGGCACGCCGAGGATGGGTTTCGGCCTCGAATTCCATTTGCTTCCAAGTGCTTTCTAGCTCTTTGAGCACCTTTTCCATGCTCATCTCCTTCACTGCTTTGTCAACCAGATTACGCACTTCTTCCTCATACTGATGCAGTTTTAAACTGAGCAAGTCTTGCAGAGTTGTATCCTCGCTCATGGTGAATTTCACTCCAGTGGCTGCCATCAACTGTCTCCAGTGACGGTCACGAATCGCAGGATTTTGCAGGTCACTCACAGCTCGCAATGATGCAAGCATGTTTTTCACTCGATTCTCGATTCCCAAGTATGCATCCCATGCTCGTACCTCTTTGTCAAATGTGCGCAATTCTTTGGCGAAACGTTTAAATTCCAAATCCATTTGATCAACGTTTATTTTACGCCAAGGTGACAAGATCCAGTGGTCGATTGAGTTTCCCATCAGGTATATATTATCCCACAGATCTTTTAGCTGTCTCAGCTCCTTTCGGCATTGTTTTACTTGTTTGTACTCTGGAACGTTGACTTCGAACAAGGCGGCCGAGGTTAGTATTTCTTCCTTCTGACGCTCTAGTAGGCTTACAGATTGATTATACTGGAAAAAACATATATGAGACGGAAATCGTCTGTGTGTGGAAACTCAATAGTATAGAAAGAATCATGTTATGAAAGGTGTCACATACAAAACAAGCTACGGTGAAATTCCAGCAAAAGTTACAAAATTATTACATACGTTATCAGAAAGTCGATCGCTTTGTTAGCGGTCCCGGGTCAGTGGGCCGCAAACCGAACTTAGTACAATTTAGTAAGCAAGTTGTACTTTACCACTTTTTGCGTATGAATTGCTAGACACTGTCCACAGTGATCAGGAACTGATATGAAATAAGCTCTTGAACACGGAAACTGAATTCTGTGACATGTCCTGTTGATAGCTCAGTACACTACCAACAACGGCATGAGAAACGGTCATAGAATGTAGTTAACCCTTTATTGTGCTGGGCAATGCGTGTGTCAGATATTCAGAAGTGTGACTGTAATATATTTGTATTCAAAGAACTCCAGATTTGGTAGCAATCGAGATGGATTGAACCCTGGGTACTGCTGGTGTCAGTTAATCTGCTTCGGGAGAAAACCTCAAAAAATCTTGTACCTATTCCAGTAATTCCAAATCTAAGGAGACGTGAACATGACAAGTAGGTTAAAATGATCACCCAAACTTCAGTCCGTCTTACAGGAGACGACGCCAAACAGCGATGGAAAAAACAGTGGTTTAGGTGTGTGTGTGTGCGTATGCAAACCTTAAGTGGCATTTGATACTGGTTGATGTCTACTAATCTTCAAGCAGTGTGTAGTTGTGGTCAAGTGCCAAGATTGCTGGAGTGATACACGTCGGTAGGTATTGAAGGAGCTGTTTCTACTACACTTTTTAAGTGGGTAGTCGGCTAGTAGTGTATGACTTGGAGGTGACTTGGTTCTTATGAGAAACACTCCGTCAGGTTTACTGTCCATATTGTTCCATTGGACAGATTACGTAGTTAGCATAAAAGATAGTCTACGTTCACTTACTTGGAATTAGAGCTCCCCACTCATTGACCTCCAAACTGTTAATCAGCGAAAGGGATTGTACATGTGAAAGTCCCTCAAGTCTTTCTTTGAACAAGTCCCGTGAGAAAAATAATGAGACTTTCATGCACTACCTGCAACAACCACCACGGGCTTCGCTGACTTGCTGTTGGTGCTCCAACAACTATCAAACTACTTCCACTCAAATAAGTAGCACGGGTTTTGCTATCACGTTACAGGTCCTCCCGCAGCGGATGCGCTAGTCAAACAAACACCATATCTGATGTCACTCATGAAATTGGTAGCTTAGAGTGACTTCTGGGCTTCAACTACTTTGGTCTGGTTTAAACACCGGCCAAATTACATTGCCTGTCAGCTTTTGAAAGTCGACTTACATTCAAGTATTTTCTGATGGTTCGCGTGGTGTTGGATACACCTTCAGCTTGAGGTGCGTTATGGGCAACCGTTTGGAATTTTTCTGTTTGGTACTTCGACATATGGTCAGTCGCTTCAGGCTTTCTCTCCATAACAAGACAGCTATAGAACTACATCCTCTGCGTTCAAGAATCATCCGCAATGAGCTGACTGCTGATGGCTGAGTCGCATATTTGTGTACCATTTTAAGAGTAGTGGAGGGGAGGAATTTGAGAATTTACGATAGGGACCTGAGGATACGAAGACCATGGAATAGTTCGTTTACCATTTTATAGAATCACTATTCATATACCTTGGTTTCTGATTTTGCACATCCTTTGTTTTTCTGCATTCTGGACATCGTAGACCTTGCACATCATAGTCGAATGGTGAAGAACAGGCGAACACAACGTGTCTCATGCAAATTGATGACTTGAAGCTTAGAAATGTGACGGAGTATTAGACGGAAGTTTATTGTACCACAGTTTGCCCTTTCAGACACGTGGTAAATGGAACAGGACCATACTGGCTTTCTGATTATAATCAATATCTGAATGCACTGATGAGAATCACGTCCACAATTACTTCGCTGCGTTGCTATGCGTTAGACACATGTAGGTTTGAAATCATGCAAGTGGTTTTGAAGAAAAAAGGGATTTTCCCACGATGACATTCGAAACAGGTAGAGTCGAAAACTTATAATTTACTTCTTGATTTTGCAAATATCTACTCTAACTTCTCTTCACGGCCTTCAGATGGTGAATTATCAGTGTGCGCGTTAATGTTGGTGTGCGAGGAGCGACAGGCGCCTTAGTAGCTCCATGGAAGGAGGTTAAACTAAAAAAGAGCCCTCACTTTATTGAGTGGACTTCGAAAGCGGATGTGGATCTGTCAGGCCAAGTTTCTGCTTCATCAAAGACTGTGCGATCATTCGGATACAACTCAAGGAATACCTAGTAAAGTTTAAATCAGGGATCTTACTGAGATAGTGGGCGTATTGCACTTAATGTACCTGGAGTTGCCAGATCGTTCTGAGATGAATTCACTTACCTGATCGATAATATTATAGGGTTCCTTGCAGGCAAAATAAAAGGCGGCCATCTTACGGAACTGCTCCCGGAAATTGCACTGATTCACATCGAACGTGGCACATTTTCTTCGTATATTTGCAACTTCATTATTCTGGAGTGGTGCAACCGTTTGCTTCATCAACACAGCCTGCTTTTTAGTATTGTTCCACCGTTCTGGTAATTCCTATGAAGATAAGGATAAAGGTACATCCGATTCTTACATATATGTTTGGCGAATTCATGTCGCGTTAAACGACCTGCCTTTTCTGGTATATTACGTAGTGATGACAAGCCTATCCTGATGACTAGGTGAAAATCGCTATCCTCTGTACTGCAACAAAACCGATTCACGATGGTGGTTAGATGAACACACATAAATGACCAACGGCTAAGCTGAACCACTTTACGTAGACTAAAAAAGTCACATTTAGTTCACATTTGTTGGGAAAAATAGTCCGGAAAAAGCTCACATTAGCCGAACTCAGATCGATGAACAATCGGCCGGATAATCTAAGTGATTTGAAATTCACCACATGCTCATTTGGGAGACAAACCACACACTTGGTTTTAATGACTTGATTGTCAGCAAGTTGTTTTAAGTTTTTTTTTTGGAGCAAGAAACCGGAGAGGAGAATCAGCTGACGACGCTTTTTACATAAAATCTGGGGTTGATTCTTCGCTGTTGCCAAACCCACCTTGGACTTTATTACGAATTTGAATTTGAAATTTTGCTAAGAACTACTTTTATTAAATCAATTACAATCCACTTTTCAAGAAAAAAGAAAAAGACAAGCAAGCGTTACACTTTTGAGGGAGCAGGTATGGTCGCCAAGATGCCCAGACATGAGGTCGAATTCCTCGCCTTTTGAGTACCCCTTGAGCCCTCCACGGAACTGAACCAACGTCCAGAAGCAGAAGGTCGGTGCCCTTAATTGTTTGATCCGGTCAGATAGAGAATACCGTTCTATTAATTTCAACTGACTACAATACTGCTTCCGTCAAGAGCAGCGCCAGACAGGACGTGTAACCTAAGAGCAACCGCATGCGGCCACAATATTGTTATCAGGTCTTATAATCTGAATAAAGGGCGTATAGTGTTTAGGCACTCCGTAAAAGTAAGAAAGAGAAAGTGGTTTCGTCTTTTATCATTTAGAGCCAGCGCCCTATGGCCCCTGAAATAGTTCTCTTGGACAATAATAATGATATGTTTAGTTAATGTCAATCACTATCCCGTGGTTGTTGACTCCCATGTATTTCACATGTCATGTAGAATTTAGTTACTTACTTCCAGCAGTTGATGCACTTCATCTGGCATTTCCTGGTTGTACGTTTTTAGCAGTTCTATGGTCTGCTTCAACGGTTCAAACATCTCATCTGTAGCCTGTTGGCGTTCTTTGACGTTACCCAAATGTTCCATGACGAGGACCAGGTTATCATAGTCCCCTTCTTGAAGCTGAATGCTCAAAACCTTGCTAGTTTCCTAGGAAAAAAGTCAAGCCGAAATAAGCTACTGAATACTTTGCATCACGTAAATCCATACAGAAAATCCTTTCATAGAGTGAGTGAATAGTATGATTCCTATCTAAAAGCGATTCAAGAACAGGCTTTCGAAGGGTCTTCAATGGTGCAAACTCTAGGTGCCCCTGAGGATTATGGACTGGTTCTAAACTTCTTCACAAAAGTGGCTATGAACGGGAAAATAGAGTTTTGCTTAACATTAGATGGCTTACCGTCTTTTACTAAACGCATAAATCGGCGAACCACCCAGCCTTAAACACTATGATGCTAGAATAATGCCTCTAATTTTCGCAAGTGCAGTGGTTTTGAAGAAAAATGGGATTTTCCCACGATGACATTCAAAACAGGTAGAGTCGAAAACTTATAATTTACTTCTTAATTTTGCAAATCTCTACTCTAAATTCTCTTTACGGCCTTCAGATGGTAAATTATCAGTGTGCGCGTTAATGTCGGTGTGTGAGGAGCGACAGGCGCTTTAGTAGCTCCATGGAAGGAGGTTAAACTAAAAAAGAGCCCTCACTTTATTGAGTGGACTTCGAAAGCGGGTGTGGATCTGTCAGGCCAAGTTTCTGCTTCATCAAAGACTGTGCGATCATTCGGATACAACTCAAGGAATACCTAGTAAAGTTTAAATCAGGGATCTTACTGAGATAGTGGGCGTATTGCACTTAATGCACCTGGAGCTGCCAGATCGTTCTGAGATGAATTCACTTACCTGATCGATAATATTATAGGGTTCCTTGCAGGCAAAATAGAAGGCGGCCATCTTACGGAACTGCTCCCGGAAATTGCACTGATTCACATCGAACGTGGCACATTTTCTTCGTATATTTGCAACTTCATTATTCTGGAGTGGTGCAACCGTTTGCTTCATCAACACAGCCTGCTTTTTAGTATTGTTCCACCGTTCTGGTAATTCCTATGAAGATAAGGATAAAGGTACATCCGATTCTTACATATATGTTTGGCGAATTCATGTCGCGTTAAACGACCTGCCTTTTCTGGTATATTACGTAGTGATGACAAGCCTATCCTGATGACTAGGTGAAAATCGCTATCCTCTGTACTGCAACAAAACCGATTCACGATGGTGGTTAGATGAACACACATAAATGACCAACGGCTAAGCTGAACCACTTTACGTAGACTAAAAAAGTCACATTTAGTTCACATTTGTTGGGAAAAATAGGCCGGAAAAAGCTCACAGCAGCCGAACTCAGATCGCTGAACAATCGGCCGGATAATCTAAGTGATTAGAAATTCACCACATGCTCATTTTGGGAGACAAACCACACACTTGGTCTTAATGATTTGATTGTCAACAAGTTCTTTTAAGTTTTTTTTCGGAGCAGGAAACCGGAGAGGAGAATCAGCTGACGACGCTTTTTACATAAAATCTGGGGTTGATTCTTCGCTGTTGCCAAACCCACCTTGGACTTTATTACGAATTTGAATTTGAAATTTTGCTAAGAACTACTTTTATTAAATCAATTACAATCCACTTTTCAAGAAAAAAGAAAAAGACAAACAAGCGTTACACTTTTGAGGGAGCAGAGTATGGTCACCAAGATGCCCATACATGAGGTCGAATTCCCCGCCTTTTGTGCACCCTTTGAGCCCTCCACGGAACTGAACCAACGTCCAGAAGCAGAAGGTCGGTGCCCTTAATTGTTTGATCCGGTCAGATACAGAATACCGTTCTATTAATTTTAACTGACTACAATACTGCTTCCGTCAAGAGCAGCGCCAGACAGGACGTGTAACCTAAGAGCAACCGCATGCGGCCACAATATTGTTATCAGGTCTTATAATCCGACTAAAAGGCGTATAGTGTTTAGGCACTCCGTAAAAGTAAGAAAGAGAAAGTGGTTTCGTCTTTTATCATTTAGAGCCAGCGCCCTATGGCCCCTGAAATAGTTCTCTTGGACAATAATAATGATATGTTTAGTTAATGTCAATCACTATCCCGTGGTTGTTGACTCCCATGTATTTCACA